CCCCAAGACACGTGGACTTTTTGTCTTCTGCTTCCTTCTTATCACACAGCTCCATCATTTTAATCGCGAGAAAATCTCCAAGATCAAAAGCGTTAAAACTGCCACTTTTACGTTTGTCATTTGGTTTTACATCGAACTCGTTGCTCTCAGTTTCCATTACCATCCTCCCGGGTAAGTTTTCACACTCTAGTGCCGTTTTATTTTCGTTGCACGCCATGTGCTCGATGAAATTTCCCAGAGAGTTGGTTGTAAAGAACGTAATTCTGTTTCTTTCCCAACAGTAGTTGAATTTCTTGTGTTGATTCAGGGATTGAAGAATCCGTTCACTGTTCAGAACCAAGATGCTGCCGCAGAGGTTGAAGAAGGCCATCACTGATAACCCTAAGAAGCTGGGGAATTTGATTGACCTCGTCAATCTTCCATCTACTCTACGTGACTTCGTTGGTCAATCTCAGATTTCCCGTCTGGGTTGTTTCATGCGTGTCTGGTCGTATATCAAGACCAACAATCTTCAGGTTTCATCTAGTTTATTACCTAAATGCGTCTCTTTCGATATATCATTGACTTGACTGATTGGTTTTGCTTCTTAAAGGATCCTAAGAACAAGAATGTGGTGAATTGTGATGAGAAGCTCAAGAGCATTTTACTCGGGAAAGAGCGAGTGGAGCTAGTCGAGCTTCCTTCTCTTATCAAGTTGCATTTCCCCAAACAACCAAAGTAGATTTATCAGAGACACTTCAACGTTGGATTCTTTGGAGTCGTTTGTTTGTTCACAAGATGCTCTCTGTTCTGGAATGCATAGAGAGATGATACTTTTAAGTTCTACTAGTAGAATTACTTTGAAATACAAATTGTCTCAACATTTTTGGTTTCTGGCTTCCGGATTCAGTTCCATTTCTGCATTCTTTTTTAAACGGTTTCTATCTGCTGGGCGGTGATATGACCCATCTTTACACTAATATAACATTGAGAAAAATGGTTCTTTTACATCATCGTGGAAGCTTGATTCAAGCAAAAAAAAACGATCAAGCAACCTGACTGATCATTGATACAAGGAATTGTAAGACAACATAGTAAACGAGTTAGTAGAAGAAAGAACGTAGCATGTCAAGTAATCTGTCTGTGGTATGGCGACTAATCCCCAAAAATACACATTTTGCTTGCATTTGAATGTGAAAGGGTTCATTCTATATCACCCAAGTAGCTCATCTCCTTGTATCCCGATGCACTTTGGAAACCTACAAGAGGATTAAGATCACAATCAGAAAATGATTGATTTAAGAATCGTTGATACTTATAAAACTTAGACCATGAGTTTGAACTTGAATAACTAACTTCAGGATTCTTTCTGGTTTCAAAGACCAGGTTGTATGGATTTGCAAACACCAGCTGGGTTCTTTTCAGCTCATTCTGCAACTTGGTTTTTTGAATTCTCTGACTATATTGTTGTATCCTTCAATAATAGATCTGTGTTGCTCTTTCAAGGAGCAGGCATCCCGTAGCAGGGAGCATGGAGAGAGATATCTTGCGAGTTACGAGTCCATAAATGTCTCTCATGAGAAATCCCCTAGGATGCTTCAGCTGTTATGCTTGTGTCTCCTAGTTGGCTTATTTTTGCGTGCATTCCTCTGGAAATGTCTCATCAGCGAATTTGCTTTAGCCCGCATGCCGCTCATATTCAATCCTGAGATCATTGCTGTGTATGTTTTATAATCAGGCTCCACTCCTTTGAGGCCCAGGCTACAGAACAATTCATATGCTTCTTCCACCATACAAGCCTTGCACATCCCATGAATCATGATAGTATATGTAATAATATCGAGATCATTTCTAGTCTGTTGCATATCTTCAAATATAAGCAATGCTTTCTCTACCTCCTCATTAACAAATAGACCAGCTAACACAATGTTGTAGCTCCTAATATTGGGAGGCAGACCACTATAAGTCATCTTTCCAAAAAACTTTAGCGCACGATCGACATAGCCCGCTCGAAAATAGGCCTGGATAAGGGTGTTGCAAGTGACTGTGTTTATGTCCACTCCTCTTTGAGACATCTCGTCTAAAAGGTTAATCCCATCCTGCAACCTCTTCGACTTGAAAAACCCGTTAGCAAGAGTACTGTAAGTCACTACATTTGGCGAGCACCCCTTGCTTATCATCGAGTCCAGCATTTTTCTGGCCTTATCGACACTACCATCCATACAATGCCCAATGATCAGTGAATTGTAAGTGAATACATTAGGATCAATAGACCTTTGTATCATCTCCTTGTACTGATCTGCAGCCTCGGAAAGCTTTCCGCCTTTCACATATGCATGGATTAATGCAGTGAAAGTGACTACATTAGGGTCGATTTCCATAGAGGACATTTTGCGCAGTACTTGAGAGGCTTCACTCAATCTGCCGGAATTACAAAGGCCGCTTATGAGAGTGCTGTAGGTAACAACATTCGGCGTAATCCCATTGTTAACCATACGGCTGTAAAGCTCGAGCGCGCCGTCCACACGTCTGTTTTTGCAAAGCCTATCAATGAGTATGGTGTAGACTACAACATTAGGCTCAATACCCATTTTCTTCATTTGTTCAACCACATAAGTTGCATCCTTAACTCTATTCATACGACAGAATCCATTGACGAGCGAGCTATCGGTTACAATGTCAGGCTCAATACCAAGTTTCATCATTTTCCCAAGAAAAGATAAAGCAAAAGAGGGTTTAGAGCAGCGGCAGAAACAATTCACTAAAATATTGCAGGTATAGAGATCAGGTGAAATTTCCATAACTTCCACATAATTCCATAGAGTAATCACAACATCGTACCTCTTCATCTTCGCGATAGCAGTCAATACTTTATTGAATTCAATGATGCAAGGTAAGGGACGAGACTCAGACATGTGTATGAACAAATCAAGCGCATCTTTGTACTCAATATCGTTAAGCCCACTTCTCAAAATCTCTCGGTAATCGGAAAAAGCTCGTACCCAGAAACGGAAACCGCAAAGTCTAAAGGACGGAGAAATCAGTAAATGCCGATGAAGAAACCCTTTAGCCGTCGA